TGAAAAGAAAAGAAACAAAAAACAAAATAAAAACATAACAAATCCAGAAATTAAGTTGGCATAGTTTTCATTGGATGTATCGAGTATGTTGTCATCGTCAAGTATGGTCCGTCACGCGCAGATCTCTCCGAGTTGGAGCTTCTCTGCAGATGGAGGAGATATCCACTCGTGCAAAGACTGGGTGGAACAAAGTCAAAGTGCCGAGGTGAATTCCACTGAGGACCGAACTTTTGTAAATCGTTTCTGGGTGTTCTTGGTAGTGTCCTGGAGATTCCGTTGTTCCGGTAGCTACTTATACAGGACATTTCGAAGCTTGGAACCAGGTAATCGGTCGGACTGTGTGGCACTCCCTCCCGTGACTTGAAAGAAGTCATCGGAGATGAGACTGGTGAGAATTTAGTAGCAGTAGAGCACCTCGTCAAAGAGTTCGTCTAGGGAAATACTGCCACTTTACATGATTCTGTCGCCGAGCAGTAATCGCAAAGATGTTATGGGCACTGCCACTGCACCCGTCACCGTGACACATAAGTTGACAAGCCCCGTGTGCCTGTAATTTCACTAGCGCCCTTCACGTTCTAAACCAGAGCGCAATAAAAGAAATGTATTCACTATGTAGGAAGTATGTAAAGGAAAATAAAATGAAATTGTGTTGTTGTCCGCCCAGTAGATCTTGTAAGTCGTAAAATACATGAAACAAATAAAGTAGATAGAGATATATATTAGTAGAAATAGGCTTGTATGTCCCACCGGCAAAAGTATGAATGAGGATGGATGATAGAAAGAATCAGTATGAGGCATAAAAGTGCGAGAGGCATAAATGACACAACTGGTGAGAAAGAGGCAGAATAATAAAAAAAAATGTAACTGGTCCGAAGGCAAATTTTACACTGAAGATTTGATTAGACAGCTACCTGCGTACTAGCTTTTTAAGGTTTTAAATGACAATAGTTATTTGTTATTCGAAGTTGGAGGCTGCAAAGTTGTTGTTGGCCGCGAGTGCTTGTATTGAAACATGAGCATGCGAAGAAAGCGAAGATTATGAGTGTAGCGACGGTTTCAAGCCACGAGACGCAAAACAACTTTGCTGCCGAGCGAAACGCACAACTTTTGGTAGATGGAAGAAAAACAGTTGAATTATAAAACTTTTATTAATTAAAAGAAAAAGTTTGTCTTCAGATGCGTTCTGAATGTACACCTCAGCAATTTTTATTCTTACTTGTACTTTCATCTTGTGTGATTAAGTGATTATTGAAATTATTTTAGTTCTTCGACGAAATAAAATAGTTTAATAAACACAATTAGTTATCATTGTCAATAATGAGAATAAAATATACCAACGGATTTATGTTACATTAATAAGTACCTAATGTACGACAAATCGGTTAGTTAAACGTGCCATTATCTTTTTTTTTTTCATGCAAAGAAAAGTTAGGTGCACCACATTCCATCGTCAAGTTCGATTTTCAAAAACCTTTTCCACGCTAGGGTGCAAAAAACGCTTTTGCGCACAGATTTCTAATGCCTGAAAGAAAGCCTTTCCGAGCCAGTGAGTTGAATACTTAGTCTGTTTCCAAAGAGCTACCCCTAGCTAAGAGTGTAATCACTGAGACGATTTCAAGTATAATTTGCTTACCTATTCAGTAAAGATATTTTAGAATTTGTTTTTCGTTGCGAATCTTGTCGTTTACGATCGGCAAGAGTTTAAAGTGTAGCTTTTGTGTGGCAGGCAGCGGATGTGTTAATAGCGAATATGCTTTTGATCGTCGAAAAGGTTAAATACTTGTTATATATTGGTGATATAAAGCACAGCACTATCCTAATAACGCAGTGCGAGCGCGAGAGCGCACGCGCATCCGTATTTAGCGACAGCCAAAGGATGTCCTGCCTCCGGCTCTACATAAATACTTCCATTTGCATACATGTACCTATGCACCTAATCAGTTTGCTGTATGGGTACGAGAGCGCGCCATTGGTTGACTCATTTTGTTGCTATGTCAACTGAGACTCGGCGACACTCGTCAACAGATAAGGGCCGTGTGGCACTTACGTCCAGCTGTGCATGAACACATTTTTAACTGACTTCAAAAAAGGTTCTCCATGCAACTGTATTTTTATTATTTTTTTCTGTGTACATATTACGCAATTACTCCGATATAATTTGCGAACCTATTTCGATTATTCTTTTTTTTGTCGAAAAACGGGGTACCTCAATAGTAGTCGTATTTAGAATATCATAATATATACAAATCTAAGGGTGGCGAATAAGGGGATGATTCCGGATTATTTAATTTCGCTCGCTTTCCATTAACCGATTTAATAAAAAAATACGTGACATGGAACTCCAATGAAAAAAAATGTTACCATGGCCTGGAGCTGATCTGATGATGGAAATGGCCAACAGATGAGAGGAACTCCTCAACGGTGTACAGCAGCTACCTAGCTAGCTGGTATTTGGACTCGTGTGATCTCCGTTTTGGCGACATTTCTATCTGCGTTTCAATTTTGTCGTTAAGACCGCGGTTGAGCGGCTACGAATACTGCGAAGGTCGATAATGACAATTTTGAAGTCGATGTTTTCGTTGAGAAATAGTTAGTTCACGATTCGTAAACATTTTAACCTGTTGTAAGTGAGCCTTCCACGGTCACCAAGTGTGAACTAAAGGCCCGAAACCTATGGCCAGCAGTGAGACGGCTGGTGATACTTGACTTTATGATAGCTGTATGAATTAAATGATAATGTTTATTGGCCGCTTAATTGGTCCATAGCGGGCGGTTTAAAACGACCGATCGAATTAATTAGTCGACTGTGTGAGCCGGCGCCGGCGCCGGCGGTCGCAGCTCGTTGTCGAATTTATCAGTAGTCAGCTATGTGTGTTGGTGCCATTTCTCATAACCACGTTATTTAATTGATTGTTGTCTCTGCACTTCACAGTGACGGCAGCAGTGCTGGCAGCCCGAAGGAAGCGTGCGTGGCGGCGTCTCCGCCCCCCGCGGCACCGGCGCACGCGCCGCACCCGCCCCACCACCCGCCACACGCCCCGCACGGTGTGCACCCGCACCCGCACCCGCACGCCGTGCACGGGCACCCGCCGCCCGCCAAAAGAGACCACCACCACCATCTTCGGCATCACCACCATGACACCCGGCGTCCTTCGCTCGGTCAGTACCAAATCACTTACTTTTGTATGTCGAATTACGAACCCTTCGAGCCCATGAGGGTTCGAAGGACATTTGTCTGCTGTGGTGATAAAATCAACCTTCGTTTCAAATAGACGCCTACACCTTGGGGGAATTTAGGAGCGTGTTAGGGGTGGAACGCACAGTCACAATGCAGAGTAAAGAACATCGCCTTTGAAGTCTCGCGAAGTGCCACTTGTGTCTAGACATTGCGTCATGTTGCAGGGTTGTCACCGTGTGTGTCTTTTTAAACATGTCAGTCCATGTCCATATTGGGAATAATAAAAAAAGATGTTGATATGGGGTTTTGTCACAAGCCGTTTTATGTTAATCGTGGTACACATCGTATTATCTTTATTTTTGTCTAAATTATACAGATTTTGTATATGTTCCCATTTAACGGTTTTGTTCTCAAATTCATAATTATTATTTAACAAACACATTTTATTAAATGAGTAACATCAAAGATGTATTTTTTTGTCATCAATAACAAAAATACATATTTTCTTCGAAATTTTCGAAAAATTCGAAATGAATTTGAATAGTAAACTGATGAAATTTAAGGTTTCTATGTAGTCCAGATGATTTATTTATTTTTGGAAGATTTACAGCAAATGTTTTAACAATAAATATATTTTAAGTAGTAATTTTAATTAATTTTATGATGATATGCAGTCTCGAACAGTACATGTAGTATGTACCATTCTCCAACAAATCGCTTCAATGCTCCCACGAAATATTGAACTTAAATGCGTCAACCCTGAATGTTACGTCCCGAACGGTTGTATGACTCCTCCCTCGCCCCGCACACCCCGCACGATTGTTCTGTTGGACGACTGTAGGAATTATTATTGGTTAGACTGTGCTTATAGCGAGTTGACGTGAGCCGTCTTGTGTGCCGCAGGCGGCGCGGGCGCGGGGGCGAGCGGCGCCAGCGGCGGGCCGGCGCCGCGCAGGCCCGAGCGCCGCGCCGCGCCGCCGCCGGACCGCCGGCGCGCAGGTGGGTCTGAACCACGTCCGTCAATTTGACGCGCACCTCGGCGGCTCCTAAGAAAGCAATGCCGATCGACAGAAACCTCTCTCGGTCTTGTATCCGATTGAACTGGAATCCGTGTTCAACGTGTCGCTTTGTTGCAGAGCTGCGCGTGAGTCCCGGCGCGGGCGCGGGGCCGTCGGCCGAGCCGCCGCACTACAACCACCCGCCGCCGCACCACCATCTTGTAAGTAGCCATTGGGCATTTGCGTTGCGCCTTACTATGAGAAACAATGTAAAAGAAACTACTTGTATTGAATCGTGCCATCGCCAACGTTCCATTGAACTAAATGAAACGAGTGAACTGCAATTGGATGCGCCGGAACTTGTGATTTTAGCTCACTCTTAGTACGACGGTACGGGCTTAAGACCTCGGGTGCACGAGTCGTTTCGAGAATCTGATAACATTGTGGGCTTCCAATTAGGCATGAAACGTGTTAAACCTGTTCGAACACGGAGTGCTTTGCGATTGCAGGACACGAATCCGCTGGAGGGCGCGGCGGAGTCGATGGGCAGCGGCGCCGCCGGCTCCTCGGACGGAGAGCTCAGCTCGAAGGCGGGCGACAGCCCCTCACGAAAGCGGCGGAGGATCTCGAGGCATTTGAGCTCAGGTAAACGATGGACCGTCTCGTATAGCGATCGCAGCTGTCGCACGGCATCGCACCGATCGTTCTCTCGCTGAATGTTTCCAGGCGAAAGCGGCGTGTCGGTGGCGGCGCCGGCGGCCGAGCGGCGCACGCCGCGGCACCACTACCAGCCGCCGTGAGTGTCCGATGCGGCACTAGTCGACTCTGCTGGTGTTTCGGAAGAATAAAGATTTTTCATAAATTAATATGTTGCATGCGTTTAAGTGCCAATGTTTCCGTGTCGCGCAGCCGGCGGATGCGGTACGTGGGGTCCGGCGGCGGCGTGTGGCACGACCCCCCCGCGATGGCGCACCCGCACCCCGCGCACGCGCCGCACCCCGCGCACGTTCAGCACCCGCACCACACGCCCGTGCTGCTGGGCATCAACCAGGTAAAGACCAATGGAGGCCAAGTGGAGGCTCGCCGGCGAGGGCCGAGCGGACCGGTGAGAGTTGACCCGTGTTCGACCGCAGATGTCGCTGCGCGACGCGCGTCTGTCGGCGCTGGGCGGCGGCGTGGGCTGGGCGCACGCGCACGCGCACGCGCGCGACCACGCGCAGCGCACGCAGGTACGCCCGCCGGCCGTCGGCGTGTCCGACGCGGTCGGCAGTTAGACCTTCCACATTCGCGTGGGTCTGCGTCCGACGTCGCCGGTTGTTATTAGTCATTTTACAAATACGACTTTTACGGAAACGTTCGAGTTTACCATTTTCGGTTTGAAGATCAATCAAGAGAGTTCTTTCATTTGTCGCGAAATATTTGACAAAATATTTTGTGTACAAAAATCTAGTTCATTAAGTACTTCCGTTGTCCGAGTCAGGTCGAAGGGGGTAAGTGCGCACCGTGGCATTTGGGGTGGCTCAGGTCTTCAAATGATATTTTATGTCCTTTCAATGTCACTTTTGAAAGACAAGGTGCCCGCTTACCCCTTACTCCGTTCGTGAAAAACCGTTAGGGTTGTAGTAAATGGACACGCGTTCAGTAGGAAACACTCTAAAGTAAGCCTAAGCCGAGGGCCACGAACGGGAACGAGAACACACACCGAAGAAAAAACAAATACCAATACAAGGATTGACCGAAATCGTACACTCGAGTACATCACCGGCCGATTGAAGAAATCGCCGTTAGGGAGCGTAAATAACACGCAATGGACTCTGTGGAATTGTTCAACCCAACGAACAGAGTCGATCGCGGCTTGTAGAAGCGTCTGGGCATAGCATATAAGGAAGTGAGGCACTAGTCGTAAGGAACATCGAGTCTGTAATTGTGGACCGCGGAGCGACGCCCGGCCGACCGCGCCGAAGGGTCGTTCCCTGGCACGAGTCGATGAGGTCCCCGGGACCAGCTGACGCTCGGGTGCCGACAGGCGGTGGGCGCGGTGGGCGCGGTGGGCGCCACCGAGGCGCTGTGGGGCGCCGTGCTGCCGCACCCCGCACACCCCGCGCACCCGCCGCTGCACCGCTACCAGGTACCGCTGGACGGGCGAGGAGGCCGCTTGGCGCTGCGAGGCTCGCGGGTGGTCGCCGCTGCACCCCGACTGCACCGATGGTGGCCGAGCACAATGCCCGGACCAATTTCCGATGGAGTCCCGAACGGTGGCGAATTGTCGTTTCGCGGCTGCAGACCGCGTCGTTGGCTGCAAGAGGGCCCGCTGTGTTTACTTCGCCACTGTCGGTGCAGTCCAGGGGCGGAAAGTTTACGTCGCATTGGGTTTCGTGCATTGGGTGTTGTGCGCTTGTCGCAGCCGCGACAGTCGAGTCGAGGTGTCTTAACACGATCACGCTTCATTACTGGCACGCCAGCGCATGCCGCGACAAATTGGCCGGTAGATTAGAACCTTGGATTTGTCCTGTCGACGCTGTCGGCGCGCTGTCATTTGATCTCTCATCCTGTCTCATATAGCGCGAGACGAGTCCCTCCGGCACTCGACGGCGAGGTCCCACGGCGCGGGCGCACCGCGTCCTTTTGCGATATTGAGGCCCGTGTTAATATTAATATCTTCGTCATTTGATAGTTGTTACAATTTCCGCTTCTTAATAAACGTCAAACACAGCGCATGAACTCAAGTGGAGGGTCTAGGCCACTTGAGAGTAAATCACCCAAGATGCCGAAGATCAAGTCTATTCATGCACGAGAGCTTGAGCGGCTGCTGTTTATTAATGCGGGCCTTGAATTGGCCAGGGTCCCGGCGTGGGACCTTCCCTTTGAGAGTCGCCGACCCCCATTTAGATGACGCCTTGGTTCAGCTCCACACTGACTTGTCGTAAGCATCAGAGCTAGTTAAGTTGCGGAGAGATGTGCGGTCACCCCGAAGAGTCGCTTCTTAATTGGCATGGGCGCATGGAGGCGTGTCGTGTGTAAACGCTGATGCCGAGCATGTACTTACTAACACTGTCGTTCCGCCTGGAAGTGCCCTTATCCCTGCTTAGTCATTAGTTGCTCTCTTGTATTTTTCATTTTCAGATCTTGTATTGTCTGTCAAACCGTTGCGATAGTTTCCTTCAGCCGTAAAGCTTGACTTTGGGTTGCCGAAGCACCAGGTGATCCTTTGATGATCTCGTGGCAATCGAGCGAGCAATAGAACATATTACTGGGCTGAATTGCTGTTTCTCGCTCACATCCCGTTTTGTTGATTCGCAAAATACCTCTCGCTTTTGTGCCCATTCTCGAGCTACATTTGCGATATTTCTCGCCCGTGCTATCGTTGTCGGAAGAACTAAATGTCGCTCTTTAGCCGAGGCATTCCTAAGTGCTTCTGTACACGACGACGGGTGTGACGCCGCTTTACGTTCCTTCGTCTAGTTGCAACGACTAGTCCGCAACCGATTTGTGTGTCCTGTAGAGCTTGTAACAACACGCTTCGCGAGCACACCTACGTGTTTGCAATTATAATTATTGTAACTAATGTATCGGAATGCGTCTTGAATATTTGTATCGTAGCTAAGAGCCAGCGTAGACAGAGCGGAATTACGTAGAACCGAATACCGGTTTCCGACGCTCGGTCTGAGTCGGCCCTTAGGCACTGTCACAAAAAAGATAATGTTTTTTAACTTACACCTTCGTGCAGTTTCCAAAAGATGTACGACTTTTTATATTATGTACCTATTTTCAAAATGCCTGTTCGAATGTTTTCCAGCTCTGATTGTTGTCTAGTCCCTTCTTGTCTCCCGGTGTTTGTTCGAGCCGCGACATTACCGCACGCCAATTTGTACCAAGCTGACTACCCAGGCTTCCAGGTAGATCGCACACGACACCTCAGTCCGTCGGAGTGATGTATTTAATTGCGTTAAACTTTCAAAGTACGCGTGTCGTCTGCGATCCACCTTTCAGTTATTAACTAAAACGTCGATTCTGGCAGTTTCGTTCTCTTCACTAGAACTAATTGTTTTAACCTATTTAGTTTAAGAATGAGATACGCTATTTTTAGACAAATTCACGTTTAGTTTAAAAATAATAATTGAAGCTGACTGCACCGGTGTTATACATGGAGTGGAACAACAGATAATAGTAATAAATTTAATTTATTATTACTAATAATAATACTGCGAGCAGAGAACGGCCACACTTTGGCTGGCGATTATTGTCGCGAATTCAAGTTTTTCATCGTGAGTTGAAACACGGCGGGAAATTCTTGTTACACTCCGTATATGAACATTTATTTATTTATTAGAAACATTTGTTACTATGTAAGTATCTTCATACAGGGTGTCTGACATATTTGTATACTAAAGCATAAATATTAAATAACAATTTAAAAGTTTTCAGTAATTGTCATTAACGAAGCACCCCGTAGACAATCACGTAGCTCGATGTTGTCCGACCCTAACGGTAGCTACGGCCGAGTATGCGTCGCACATTATGCATGCCCAGATATCGATATTATATATTCGAAATTTATGATTAACACTATTGTGTACTTTTTACGTAATTTTTTTTCCATGGGATAATATTATGACAATGGTATTGAATCTGTCACTTATGTTTATTGTTCTCAACTGTCAGTCTCTGTTGTTACAAACAGATGAACAACACTTTAGCTAGTTTATGAATGAGGAGTGACAGAATCGACTCCATTGTGACTCCAAATAGTAACAAAACTTGTAAAAGAATTGCGTTCAGTAGAAACGTCAAATTTTACCAAGTACCTACAGTGATCGCAAATGTAGAGAAACGGCTGGATGGGATAGCTTGTTCGCAGTTTTATAACGAATTTGTTACGGCCGCTGTCGCGTTGGTCGCGTTGTTTTGATCGACGACCGAACCGTTGCCTCCAAACCCTCTTTTCAGAGATGCTTGAGAAGTATAACAAATGTCAATCAAATTCTTAAACTAATTCGTGCCTAACACAACGAGACAGCGTTCGATGATAATGTGCAGGTGATGGCGCCACTAACACCTTGTCTTTTTGTAACCATGTTGTCTATGTATTATGTATATTTATTGTTCCGTTCGTACGTAGCTATAGCTATATTTACTCACGTCATGTTCGAATGTCTGTTTGTTACTGTCCAAATCAATATTTAGAGTAGCTCTAAGTGTGGGCTGCGCTGCTTTTGTTCCTCTCGCCCAAAAACAATATTTATTTGTTGTCAAATAAGCGCAGTTTTTCAGTGTACATCAGCAAAGTTTATTTTGCAGCAGCCCCTTATTTTGTAGAACTTTTTTTTTTCTGAAAACCTTTTGTTTACGTTGAAAAGATCTAGCTCTTTAACGCCATTGGCCAAAAAGAATGTTAACATGGTATTTAACGCCATACCTGCCATGCTGATAGTACTACAAAATTGTATTTTTGAAATTGGGTCTTGTTAACACAGCGCTCAAGTTTGCAGTTTAAAGAATTGACATTTTGTATGCCTTATTGAAAGTCGGGGCGAGGGAGCCAGAAGCAGCGCAGCTCCGACCTCGCGTGTCTTCGGTCGGCTAATTACATACTATATACGCGTGAACTGCTTTAGAACCCATTGTACACGTACACGATCCGACCAGTTGCCGACAGTGGCAGTCGCACTTTGTATGGCCTGCATTAGACATAACACAGAATTATGGAGGGTTTTACATATTTTCAATACAACATTTGCCCGTGTCTTGTTTAGAGGAGGCTTGGCCTGTCTATGCGAGGCCTCGCGGCGTCGACGCAACTCAATGCCATCAGTTTATGTTAACGTTCGTAATAGTCCAAGGTTCATGATAACGTGGTTGGCAATGTTTGCGACTACACTGCAAGGCAAAAGTAAGAGTTTGGGCGATCGGCGGTAGCGGTGGCGGTAGGATAGCGGTAGCCAGTGGCACCTGTTTGTACGACATAGACGCGCACCGCTTGCCACGGCCGGCGGCTGCTGGCGACCAATCAGAGTGTCGGGACTCGCAGGCGACCAATCACAGTCAGTCTAGAGCTGTGCTTGAATTTTATTGGCTTTGAACCACGTGGATCCGTTATTTTTGACTGATTGTGGTTGTGATTGGACAGTTGAAATGTTGCGCGTGCAGTCGCCGGCCATCATCGATGTTTTACTCATCTCACACTTCAGAACAGACTTTCCATTTATTTATTAAACTTTCCACGACTTTTTAATGAAACCGTACCGGGCCGCGGCGCCGACGCCCCCGCCCGGCGGCTGCGCAAAAGGCCGCGCGGCGGCGTCGGCGCTCGGCGTACAGCATGCCACACAAGCTCATACCGTTTGGTTCTGTACATACTGTGCTGTGTACCGTAGGAGCGGTGCGTAGGCCTGTCTAGCTCTGTGTACTCTGTATGGCTAAAGGAATCACGTAGACGCGGTCGGCGCGACCCCCCAAATATTTTTGGTCGACTAACCCACATTTTATTATTCTGCTCGTGTTACGCATGCGTCGATTGTTGCGCACTTTTCGATACCCATATACCTGTGAATGTGTTCCGTGTTATTCGTGTACAATAGTTTCCGCCGGCGCGTGTCGCGCTCTGTGTCGCGCGACACGCCGCCGGCCGGAACGTCGAGCTCACTTTGCAATTTCGCCGCTGGCAACTCAAGCTTTGGTATTCGTAGATTGGTTTTTGAATAATGAGAAAATATTTGGCTGGTCGCTTCCATTAGAACTTGGCTGTACCCCTCGGCTGTTCTGGTCGGGCGCGCCCTCGGCTGATATTTATCTTGGTTTTTCTCTCGTTCTAGTCTTGTGTGACCTTTTTATTTATTTTATTTGACTATAGGACACCTGCGTAGAAGGCAATATGTATAGAAGAGCACACCTTTATATACCTTTTATCATTTACCTCTCACTTTTTATATATAAGTATTTATTATAAGTATATACAATTTATAAACGTATTTCTCACCTTTCTTTTGTTGATTATTATTTTATCGGCAGTTCCGGGTTCGAGTCCCGGTAGGACAAATTTGTGAAACGAACTTTACTCTTTACTACTGCATACTATTATTGTTATTATTATTATATTTTAATACCTTTTGCTAAGTAAACTTGTTGTATATATATGATTTCTATTTACTCGCACTTCGACACGTAGGTACGTTATCTGCCCTTTGTCCTCCACAAAATAGCTAACTTAGTATTGTTGTATTCTATTTACCACATAGTAATGTATGGTAGTATGTGTGTATGTATGAGGCGACGAGACGTGAACGAGACGAGAACTGTGCGCTTGCGTAACGCAACGACCTCACGGGACTGGTTTGTGTCGTCGGTTCTAACCTCTCGGCGGACGCGCGACTGCCGCACGACAATGGAACTAGTCAAAATGGCCGCACAAAGAATCACGGCCAGGATTATAATTGAATGACCAAATGGGTTGGAATTATTTTCTAAATGACATAAAATATGATTCACTTGACAACGATCTTAAATATAATTAATATTGTTCTATTGAAAAAAAAAACGAGGAGCGTTTGTTCCTGAAGGTTTGTTTGTTCGTGCGGCGGCCGGGCCGGCGCCGGCGGAGACAAAATTGACATTTGCGGGCTTTGCATCACCAATAATTTTTTTAGTCATTCTGACATACACAAAGTGGCTGCAACAATTTTGATAAAATAATTTTTTGCCTTTACCTCCTACTGCGATTTGGGATCGGAAATAGCATTATACATCGGAAACTTCCTTTTTCAAAAGCGGTTAATAAAAAAATTCCAAAATCCTTTGAAACGGTATTCTATTTATTGGTGATGCACACCCCCGGCGCCACCCCCCCGCCCATGCTCACCTACGACCCGTGTCTGGTAGATGGGCTCCGTGTACGCGCACGCCGGCCTCGGCTACGGCGGCTTCTCTGCGCACGCGCACCCCGCGCATCCCCCGCGCGCGCCCTTCGCCTCGCCCCCGCACCCGCACTATCTGACGAACTCGCAGGTAAGTATCGTGTCTGCCTTCAGGTGTGGAGATTTTTCATTATTACGAGCCAATTTATAGTAAACTTAAAGCCGAAAAGGTAAATTTCTGCCCGCCACGCACCAAAGGAAAAATTAATTTGACTCTGGCAGTAATTTGTTTATTTAAAAAAAACAGTAAACTGACCAATGTCACACGTACATTGACAATCGAAATTGTGACTGGACAGGCGATTTGTGATTATTATTATGGAGCGGAACGATTCGAGGTCGGTGCATTCGAGGGTCGAATACAAAGAAAGGGAGTCGCAGAGTGTTCGAGGGTTGAAGCACAACCGCAGATTAGTTTCGTGCGGAGGTCGCGAATAGGGGAGCGGGAGGGAGTAGTGAACACGCCGTGTCTGCCGCAGAGGGCGGAGGGCGGGCGCTACGAGGTGGTGGGCGAGGGCGGGCTGTCGCCGCTGCACCCGCACGCGCACGCGGAGCTGCACCACGCGCACGCGCACGCGCACGCGCACGCGCCGCTGCTGATCAACACGGAGGTGAGTCGGGGGCGGGGCGGGGCGGGGAGGGCTTCGTCTCGGCCGAGGCTGACCGCGCTGTGTCCGCAGCAGGCGCGCGGCGCGGCGCTGGAGCTGCTGGCGCCGCACCGGCACGCGCACGCGCACGCGCTGCACCACGTGAGTCTTGCCTCTTCCGTTAGCCGGCCCCGCGTCGACGCGACCGTAAGTCGTTGCGAACAGCAGGAGCGCGTTTGCGGCTCGCGGAGGCTCGGACGTCGCTCCTGTTGCTCGAGATTATTAAATATTGTAACAATATACAAAAATCGCTGCTCCCTCTTGTCTCTTCGAGATAATAATCCGCGTTCTTGACAATCGTCTGCAATAAAGTCCCCAATTCATTTAAGGGGCAATGTTTACGCTTCTACAATAAGATTCCCGTTGATATTTAAAATTTGCCATTCACGAGGTTTCAAATTATTGTGAAACAAAAATTTTATAGTAAAGGTTATTATAGAACTTCTGCGTACTTCGATGACAAAAATCCGTGGTAGTGACCCGTTTAGCGCTTGCAGGTAGTCTCGATCCAAGACGTTTAAATTAAATGTTGTAATGATAAATGTATTCAAAATTATATATTTACAAAGAGCAACCCCTAGAGTTTCTTGCTCATTCTTCTCAGGGGAATCTGCCTTACGAATGAGCCGTAGAGTTTAATCAGCATGAGGATTTCCAGTCTAATTTGCTTACCTATGAAATGCAGATTACTTTACTTTGACTGTGCATTAAGTTTTCGAGGAAAAACATTTCATTCTGGTTTTTTTTTTGACAAATGCAAAAGAAACATTTTTGGAAAACTGATAAAATTAATTAAAAACCTATATCAAACGTTTATTTCATTACCTATAACCTATATCGTTTGTCATATGAAACTTTTTATTAAATTTACATTTAATAAAAATAAAATTTTATAAACACTTCGTGAGCCGCGAGGCGTTCGGTGCCCGGTTCGAGGGCGCACGAGATTATTGTTGGTTTGCTGCGATGTTGCAGCGGCGAGGCGGCGTGGGCGCCGTGGGCGGCGTGGGCAACGTGGGCGGCGTGGGAGTGGGCAGCGTGGGCGGCGTGTCGCGCCATTACGTGCGCCCGGCGCCGAGGTGGCCGCACCACCCCATACACCACATACACACGCAGGTCGGCACTACGGGACTACCCGTAGTCTTCTATTCTACCTTACAGCCTTAACACCACAAGTAACTTGTTCACAGTCCCTGACACTCCAATGTCAGATATTTTGGTTGGACTGTAGATCAAAACCCTGGATTTTTTAACTTGTGAAGTGGGTAGTATTTTATAGATGGAATTTTTCAAAAATAAAATAATTTGAATATGTTGAATGAATATATAATGAGAGTAAAAGGCAAAACGAAGGACTTACGGGATTTTATAATATAACTGCCTCCGTGGCCGAACGGCAAAAGTCCCAGGATCGATTCCCGGGCCGGAAGAAATATTTGTATGACCTACATTTATTTCTCTCGTGTGTTTGGGTGTAATTTGTGGTTGTCATGTGTGTGTCCGTGGCATCCGCGACACAGGGTTTAGTGCGGGGCTATGTTGAGTGTGTGCGTTGTTATTATTATTTATTTTGGTCTTTATATAGGGGACTGTGAACATGTTCATATTTGAAATGAAAATTGTACAATGTGCAACATTGGCCGTTGCAGGGCGGCGGAGGTCTAGTGGGCGCAGTGGGCGCCGTGGGCGCGGTGGGCGCGGCGCTGCCCGCGCACGTGCAGCAGCTGCACGTGGCGCAGCCCCAGCTGCTGCCGCCGCCGCCCACGTACCAGGTATGTTCGAATGCGCGCTCAATCACCTTGAATACGTATTGTTTATATTATACTTTTTTTATGGAACAGTATGGGGAAGTCCGAAACCATAGAAGATACAAGGAAACTGTCTTAAGAATCACCAAGTCTTTTTTTGTGAAAACAATTTTGGCATAGTCAATTCTTTGGTCAAGCGTGAGTTGTTCATAAAAATGAACAAAATTGATCAAAATTTTTTTTAGTGCTGATCGATTCAGTTTTAGTAAAGATCATTTTGTTGTAAGGAATGAAAAAAATCGGGACAGCAGAAGTTGGTAAAATTTCGTAAATGTTATAAATTAAAAAAAACTCCGTAGGTATTGCGGCACTGAGAGATGATTTTGATATTAAGTCTCCGCACACCTCCTGCGCCGGCGTGGGTGTGCCGAGAAGCGCTTCTACAGTTTATTTTTGCAAACGCATTTGAAGCTCGAGGAGTAACGACATTCCACTGTTCTCGTGTCACTCGTACAATTGCATTGATTTAAAATTTAATTTAACGACGTTTTTGCCGTAACGCCATCTGTGAGAAATCTATGAAATGTTTTCTTCAGTTTAGTCGGTGGGCGCGGTTTGAATCCAGCCGGATCGAAATTTTTTCGTAGTGTTCGATTTTTGTGTGAACAATGATTACAAAGTATTGGAGTAATTTCACAAAAGTAATTGAATAACGCGGAGGCCGAACATCGTGACATTCGGTGAATTTATAAATGAATAGTTTGTTTTTGAGTCTCCTCGCTACATCCCGACCGGGTCACTTATCGTTCTAAAGCCTATTGTAAGGTCTTTTTAATGCACACGTTGAATCGTTGCGAGCGAGTAAAATAAGGAAATAGAACCAACGTCCACTCCGCGCCAACAAACTCGAGGGCTCGAGCAGAGTTTTCGTTTGAAGCCACGGTCGGCGCAGGTGTTCCTGAACCTGCTGGCCATGTTCCCGCTGTCGCCGTACGCCGAGGCGCGCGGCGGCTCGGAGCGCGGCGACTCGCCCGAGACCGAGAACTACGAGGCGCTGCTGTCGCTGGCCGAGCGGCTGGGCGAGGCCAAGCCGCGGGGGCTGGCGCGGGCCGAGATCGAGCAGCTGCCCAGCTACAAGCTGTGCGCGGCGCCGCGGCCCGACCAGCAGACGTCGTGCGTCGTGTGCATGTGCGAGTTCGAGGCGCGCCAGACGCTGCGCGTGCTGCCCTGCGCGCACGAGTTCCACGCCAAGTGCGTGGACAAGTGGCTGCGGGTGCGTACCTTTTGTTCATTGCCACCGGCGCGGCCTTCACTGGCACCCGACTACTGCGAGAATTACACAACGAAGTGCGGTTCGATCCGTGCCTCTCGCCTCCGAGGTTAAGGTATCGTCACCGAAAATTCCGTATTAGTACTTTAAAAAAAGATCTCAACGAATAGTTCCAAACGGGGCTTGTTGTTTTTGGTTTTATAATTGCACTTAACTGCTACGAGACGCTCGCCCCGGCAACAAGCGACGCCTGAAACCCACTTTATAAACTTAACCCTTAAAACGGACAGAATATTTTTTTTTTTCACTTTTGGTCGGTTCGGTTCCCAGACGAGGCGAGCGACTTACTTTGACGTTAAATAAGGTCCCGTGTACCGCGTTTGTGAGTGTGTCTGTCTGCCCGCAGTCGAACCGCACGTGCCCCATCTGCCGCGGCAACGCGTCCGACTACTTCGCGTCCGCCGAGTGAGCGCGGGCGCCGCCTGCGCCGCCTGCGCTTGGGCCGTTTGTTTGTAAAGTTGTACTTTAAGGTTTATGTCCCTCAGCTGTGGCGACGCTTGGCGCGGAGGCCCCGACGAGTCCCAGCGCCTCGCAGATTCAATTCGTTGATATTTTAACGCTTCTCCTTCCACGACTAGAGTAGTGTCACTGGAGCGAGACCGAGGAGACGAGGGATGCGTGACCGGGAAAACCGCCTCGTCGGGGCGCCGCGGCGGCGGGGGCCCCGAGTGTTGCCATGTTCTAGTTACGTGATAGTGCTTGTTATTTTTAATACGATCTGTGTTACCATGTAATGTATTGTAATATAACATTTAGTGTTAGCGAGTGAACGTCTGTTGGTTTGTTTGTACACGCTTGTCGAGCGCGTCACCCGCCTTTTTGCCGCTTCGTAGTCGGTTAACGTAAAGCCAAATACGAGCGTCGCGAAAAACGCTGTCCGTTGTTGTATATTGACAATTTTTTATTAAAATTTCTCGCACACGTGTTCGGTGAACCTCCTCGCGGTCGTTGACCACTTGTTATTGAACCACACCGCCGCCAACGGTCGACAATGAACGTGTAACGTAGCGGCGCCCGATTGGGTTGTTCCCAAAGCGGAATTCAGATATGGCTATTGTGGATTCCCCTCCTCGCAATTATAAATAAAGTTCATGTAAAAGTTGTTGGTATACACACAAGTAGATAATGTTACAAAATTGTTGTAAACGCGTGTAGTTCGTTCACTTGACTGTGTTTGCGTGTTGAAAAACCCTCTGGTCTGGTTTCGCTCGTGGTTTCGCCGGCCAACGACGTGTTGGTCACACGACCGGCGAGCTCTCGAGCGTCCGCGTGCCGTCCACACTCGCGACTGCCGCCTCCTGAACTATAAGAGGCATGTTGCAGAACTTCGCTTACGGGGTTCAATTCCCAGTAAGACAAATTTGAGAAACTAACTTTCCTATAGTACTTCTGGTACGAGTGTATAAAGTGCCACTCTACTCATTTGAAACCGGTTGGTTGGTGTACTTATCTCGCGAATTATTATTACAAATTCCTTTATAACATTCTATAAACGGCTTTATTAATGGTCTCCCTTTTGGACCACAACACCTGAGCCAATAACCCTTTGTCTCTCTTCAACCATTAATTACCTTAGTGCTATGTATCAAACCAATTAATTCAATTTAGTTTTGTGTGGTATGTCGCTTCCGGCACAAATGAAGAAAGTGGTTCTTGAACCAGAGTCCTTGACCCCGGCTGCCACTGTCGGGGAACATCGCCTCTCTCATACATTCAGTAATTCGTGTAGCAGTCGGTGCGCGTGGACTGAACGACGCCAACGCTAGGCGTATGGGAGTTAGGCAGCTGAATTGCGCACGCACATCTATGTGTGGTTGTGACAAGTGGCAACGCGGCAAAATACGAAGTGCTCATTTGGGGCTTCTTATCGTATATTGACGATATACACTTTAATGGGCGCGAAATTCAGCAGCGTAATTTCCGCTAGGCCTAGCTTAACGCTTTTCTTATCGACACTAGTGAAAGTGAGTGGAATTGTGAGTGGATCGTGAGTAGCGTAGAGAACTGCAATAAATAGTGTGTAAAGAATGGTCCTTTGAGCGTGTGCCGCCGGTGGGGAACGAAGTGGGGGCTGCCGACTGGCCAGCCCCACTTCGACCTCCTTGCACTCGCTCCCTTTATAGACTTGTATGGAGTTTTATGACTTGTCTTGTATGTACGATCAACGCGCGGAATATTTTTCTATATTAGCAATCTTCCATTGTAGAGATAAAAATTTAAAAAAAAGTTTTTTTATTTGTTACTAACTTACATCGAATGCCCGGTGAGCGCGACAACTTATTTAGTCGTACTTTCCAACGTTTTTCTAAAATTGCAATTTTAATCTTTCACGGGAGCTTACAATATCAACAAATGAACGTCCTGCTAAATCGCGGCTTTACGCGGCCAGAATCTTCGTACAAGTTCTGGTGATAAGTTGTCGCAGTCACGCGGTGTTCGAGAGAAGCACGCAGGTCCTTATGCCGCTGCGAGGGGAACGAAGGCACTGACGTCATTGAGCGCCGCGGATTAATCAAGTAATTTAAAAAGTTGGGACAGACTGCGTAAATGAAATTGAAATCCTTCAGTTTATTGACTGAATGTAACTAACTAACATTTGTTCTAAAGCCTTTGTCAATGTACAGAACTCACTCTCTGTGATGTCGGTTGCGTTCCCATTATTGCTACAGTGTTAACTTAGTTGGTTAATAAAACGCCACAGGTGCGAGCGAGACGGCTCTATCAGAATGAGGAACGCCATTATAAATACGAAAAATTACTACCTAGGGCGAGTGCAAGCTTTACAGTGTAATACTTCCGTCCCTTTCTTCCGCACAGTTGCGTTTGTGTGCTTCCGCCTCGCTCGCACCCGCGGCCTCTTACGTTAATTGTCGCATTTGAGTTCGGATATTTGTGTTGTTGCCTCTTTTATTCGCATTGTAGGTGTTGTGTGTAATTTAACACGTCGTCGCGTGTACGAATGGTCGAGTTGAATCATTATCTTGTATGATGGGGTGGTCCTACGCAATCAGTCAGCAGCCCAGGGCAAGCTGGCTGTTCTTCCGTTTGCTCTTTTTTAACTTGTTTCTAATATTTAGTTTACGAAGTGAAGTAAAAACTTATCATCTGCAATATTACGTTATTTAACTTTGTAACTTTGCCCATCCTCGTCATTCGAAACTACTTAATAGATCCGCCTAGCAGAAGAAAACAGCAGCTATTCGTCGCAGTCGGTTAACACCGAGAATGAGGTCATCAACGATAGTGAGTCAATTCGTTGAATCGTGAACAAGCATTTTGTATAGAAAAGACATATTTTTAAATGCTCATGAATTTTTTGTTTCTTTTCGCATTTTCTTTGTGTTTTGTTTAATATAGTTAAGTAACGAACATATCTTAAGAGTTGCAATAAAAGCTGTTGTAGTTACTTTGTATTAACTTTGTTTGTTGGTATCTATACTTTCTTTCGCTGTTGCTCAACTTTGTATGTCGACTTTGTAAAGAAGGCGCTAAAAATTGTCACGAATGCAGATTTATTCAATAAAAAAATGTAATACATTACTTTGTTTGTTTCTGTTATCCACAAGTCTAGTCAAAAACGCGGCTGAAATGGCACTCGCGCAATTTACGCTGCAACGTGTAAATAAACACGTTACAAGCGTGCATTTTTACACATTGTTAAGTCACAATCGAACAAACCTATGCCTTGAAACAAATTTGGATAAAGTCACGTGTGTACATATACGAATACATCAATATATATGTAAAAAATATTGAACAGAAGAAGCGTTTCGCTTCCACTTTCTTTGGCGAACGGCGAACGGCTAACGAGTGGAATTCCTGCAGACTTATTCTCTGAACGGTATAATTTGGGGCCTTTTCGAGGCGAGAATGAATAGGCATTACTTAAGTGTGCCTGCTACTTACCACTAGGTGAGATGGTTTTGATTTAATGAAAGTGGTATTTTTATTGTTACAAATAGGCGTTCATCCTAATAAGTACATCGGGTTAGCTGGAGTAGTTTTTAAATAAAAGGAACGTACATAAAAAAAGAAGTTCATTAGGTGACCATATCTTTAAACGAAATATTATTTATATGTATAAAAATTCCACTTCTGGACACCTCTAGGGGGTGTATGGATTAGAGTGACGGCGTGATCAGCAGAAAGGACCGTGACATTTTTCAAATAGGTAAAAAAATATTAAAACATTGTTTAAATCAACATTTGTATTAATTTTCAATGTTTTATTACACTTTAATTTACAGGTAAATAGGCACTCTTACAAAATATTATCAAGTTAAAGAATGTTTCTATAAAAAAAAACAATCATTTCAAAATAATATTTTATTATTTATATATTATTAAATTTAATACGAACATGGTGTATGTAGGGAATGCAATTGATTTTAATCACGGAAGAACAAAAACAGTGGTATTATTATCTGTATTTTACACTGGCACAATTTAGAATTGTTGATAGTGATTGGTCGTAGTTTCAAATTTAAAAAGAAATAAGTAATAAATTCTGGACTGTTGATAAAATTTAAATTGACCCGGTTGGCATATCGTTGAAAATTCTCTCATACCTATTATTAAGTTACGTTTTGATATTATATTGAACTTTCATTCAATGTGTTGCCATCCAGCCGCAATGTCTGATTAAAATTCTCAGAAAAAAGTTGATTATATTATTATTGCAGCGGAATAAGGTTTACTTTCGTTTGTTATAACAAAAAAGTTATGGCGATAAACAGAAAATGGAAAATTTGTTAAAATAAGATTTAAGGTGACATGAAAAACCACCGTGGATAATATTACAGGCGCGACTATCATTGTTGCACTCCAAAGTAGCACAACAAGCCATTATCACGATTTTCGAGGTTTCACACGAAGTTTCACATGATTGATATATACGCATAGCATAACGTACGTACAAAGTGTCGTCGATGGTACACAGCGACAATGGCGGGCCGAGCTCAAGCAGGCACACGTGTCACACGTCACTATGCACTTCTAATGTATTTATTGTTCCGAGATTATACGTTGGTACGGAAATATTGCATTGAAATGTAATAAATGATACTTCATTAAAATAAAACAATTTTCCGCCACGCCCACTTTACGGCGCACGTGGGACCATAGATTTAGTGTACAGGTACCCAAAATCTATGCGTGGGACTAACCACGTGTAGATTTAAAAAGACATTGACGAGGGAGCCGCGGCTTTGCACCGCCACCTGGCGGTGTTTAAAACGAATTAAGGGTGCGAAAAGTCAATCAAAAAGATTGGAAAGTTTGTCGGTTCTAATTCGAGTTTAAAAAATAAATTATTTTTAATTCACAGAACGTTCCAATTTACACTAGATACAATTTGCAAAATATTTTATTTTCACAATATGAATTTAGTACTAATTAATGTTTTAATTTATTTTCAATTTCCTTTAAATTAATAGATGTCAGTAAAAAAGGCATTTACTTTAAAATAAAAATTTTTTTACGAAACGTGTGTAGCGTAAATTGGAATGTTGTTTGGTAAATTAAACATATTTAGGTTAATAAATTTTGTAACAATAGTTCCGAACAGGGTGGTTTGGATTAACATTAGCCACAACTGGTTGAGAACTGTACCACCTCGGTCAGCCGTGACCATGGCATGGGACGACCTGGGAAGGGCGCTAGACGTCGGTACGCGCTTTAGATTCGAAAAAATAGTTTCATTCCCGTGTAACAATCGCAAAAACCTAAGAACTCTATAAGGAGCTCCGTGCCCGGCGGCGGGGAGCGTGTTGTCGTTATAACTGATAGTCCTTTTGGTCATATAACTCGGAGAGGAGCCGGTAGATGTACGAAGGAGAGTTGCCGCCACTGGAAAAAATATAGAGAAATAAATAAATACTTGTCACCTCATGGCACTGCTGGGTTTGAGTGACTCTTATATGGCAAAGGTCAATGCGGGCTGCGGACCTTCTTCGCATACAGGTAGCGATGAACGCTATGATTTCTTCAAGTATTACTAAACGTGGCTACCGCTCTTACAAAACTCTTTGTGTTGGTTGTAAATGTTTGTATTTGGTTTCAACAAAAGTCAAAATCAAAGATTATTTATTCCATAGGTAAAATAAATTTACACTTGAAAAC